AGAGAGAGAGAGAGAGAGAGAGAGAGAGAGAGAGAGCCACTACTAAACAACTAATGCACCTAGGCTGAACACATTTGGCTTTCTTTATACGGGCACTGATGTGGGTCCGGGCAATATGGGTCTCTGGGATCAGGCGCTGGCACTGCAGTGGGTGTCCGACAACATCCAGCACTTCGGTGGCGACGCCTCGCGTATAACAGTGTTTGGCGAGTCGGCCGGCGGCTGGTCTACGAGTTTGCATCTGCTATCGCCCGTCACTCGACACCTGTTTCAAAACGCTATACTCATGTCTGGGGCTGCAATCAACCGGAACGCTGGCGAACCGGCCCGCGATGTGGCCCTTAAGTGGCTTAAAGGGGCGCAGGCTATTGGGTGCACACCGGCCGACAAACCGCCGGCCACTGAATTCACTCCGGAGATCATAGAGTGCTTCCAGAGGGCACCGGCAGAAACACTGTCAGCCATACCATTTATGCCAACCCTGATGGAGGGTGTGGTGGGCTGGAATACAGTGGTCGTGGTTGATGGTGAGTTTTTGCCAGACCTACCCCTCCGGATGCTCAACAACGGTGACCACAAACACGCGGTCAATGTAATGGTGGGGACCGCTCAGGACGAGGGCTCCTGGATATTGTGGTTCAGTGAGGACTCTGTCAAATATGCCCGACAGTCACCGCCCGCTATCACATACACCGAAGCGTACAACGAGTTGAGCCGTATATCGCGTAAAATGTGGTCCAAAGAGCCCATCGATGGGGAACTGGCGGCTAAAGTCTACTTCAACGGTCTGTCCGACGAGTCGCCCGACGACCTGCTCCGGCGGACTATAGGCATAGCTGTGGGCGATTATCTGCTCGGCTGCCCAGTGTTGCAGTTTGGCCGTACGTTGTTTGAAAATGACCCTGATAACACCCGCGTGTATCAGTACCTGTACAATAGCAAACTGGGTCGACCAAAGTTGGTGTGTACCGATTGGTCCGGTGTTTGCCATTTCGATGACGTGTACCCCGTGTTCGGAGTGCCCTTCTACCAGGCAAACAGGTTTGTCGACGGGGAACGACAGGTGTCGGCCAAAGTGATCGATATATTTTCAACATTTGCCAAAACTGGGTTAGTATTGTTTTTTTTACGAAGAGAATTTACCTAAGGGAATTTTACCCATGGCTATATTTTTATCTCCAATTTTTTTAAATATTGCCGGAATAAATTATATAATGTCGTGTTTCTAATATAATTTTTTTTTATTTTGCCCAACACTATAGTCAACCCCCGGAACAAGAGGGCGCCCATTGGGACGAATATTATCGGCTAAACAACTATACAATAACCCCGTATTACGAGATCACGAGTCAACCCAAACCGGTCACTAATTTTGGTGCCGGACTTAAGATTGTTGAATGCGAGTACTTGTGGAAAAAGTACATTGATCAACAGTGAGCATGATAAAACATGTAATAATTGTCTAAACTGCATACATACAAACAGCACCATCACAGTCTAAATTAGATAAATAAATGCTTAATTCTCAACAATAAATGCGTTAATATTAGATTAAAATACTAATAGATAGAAGTTTTTAATCAAATTATTTATAATGACAAATTTTTTTTATTAGTTAATTAGATTACTTAATCAATTACGAATGCAAATGTTTGTTTACAACTTGTTATTTAAATGAGCTAATTAAATTTTGTTAAAATATATTTTAAATAAAAATTGTTGTTTTACCTAAAATAATTATTTTGAAAACATTACATCGTGTTTAATTTAATATCAATTATTAATAAAAATGTATACATGGATAGAAACAACACCATAGCAAATTACATAAATAAACTGCAGAGTGAGTGTGTGCATGAATGATTTTCTACTTAATAAAATAAATACCTAGTATTAAAAAATATTCCCGACAATACATATAGTTAATAATAATCATAATCAGAAAAATAATTAGTGATGAAAATGAAAAGTTACGAAATCTCTTGGAATAGACTGCGGGAAATTAATTCCTTAAACCATAATTCCCAGTTACGGGAAAAGTCCGGGAAACAACTCAACCTTTAGACCTCATCAAAGCTGTCAAACAATTCAATGAGTGGCAGAAAAAATGATTTTGTCCTCAGTTTCGGGTCGACCGTCGGCTTAAAGCCATTGAATTGATCGCATTTGTCCGATGAGTCCGAATAGTCAGCGCACACCAGGTTTAGGGAACTGCCAGATATGGACTCTATGAACCGGATGGCAATGTCCACTTGTTTCTCCGAACATGTGGTCACTCTCTCAGACAGTTTGTTCATACAATGATTCTTCTTGTGGTAAGCGCTAAGATAATATGGTTTTAGGAAAAAATATAAAGTGAGTTATTGTTTAAATTAATTAAACTATTATTATATTTGGAAATAAGATAATCACTATTGATTGACTGGTAATGGCTTTATTGTCACTTAATTAGAGATTATGACTATGACTATGTTTTTAAACTATAGTTATTGTACCAACTAATTGTAAAAAATGCGCGCAATAATCTAGTTTAATAATAATTTATCTTGAATTTTATATATATTCACAATATTTATATCAAATAATTATTCACAGTTTGTAAAATGTATTATTCTACAATTTATATTATAAAGTGATAACTTACTAACTTAACGTTATATTGATTATTAATTTTAATAATTATTTGAAAAATTCGAGAGAGAGAGAGAGAGCGTAGAAAATTATACACTTTTTATATTTCAAGTTTTTCATGAGAAATGAACAGAAAATTTGTGTCAATTTTTTCTCTTTCTTTCATTAATATTATAATAAAAGTTTGAAGTTTACAAAAAATTGCAGCCAAAGAAAAGTGTATACATACTGTCTGTTTGCTTTGTTTTCTCTTCAGTTCACTTGAAGTGCAATATTAATACAATTTGTTTTGTTTGGGAAAGTTTTTCAAATAAAAAGTTTGTTTCGATAAGTTTTCAAATATTTTCAAACATCACTTTCACTCGTGAAAGCGCTTATAATAAACAGCAAATAATTTTTTGTGAATTAAAAATAAAACCTCACTATAATAAAGTTGCTGGAAATGGAGCTTAATGTTTGTACACTATTGGTTTTAACGGCTATTCTGGCCCAGTATGTGGACTACGCCCGGAGTCAGTCTAGTAATGGTGTTAACAATAGCACCGATAGTATCGGCGCTCAAATCAAATGCAACAAAAAGACGTATAAAGACGTGGATTTGATGATCGCCCGGATGTTGACGTTTGGCAACTCTGGCCGCAAGTTTCCCGAAGAGACTAAAGAGGTGGCCAAGTATTGCGAGTGAGTGTTTGCTTATAATGAATTTAATTAATATATAATCATAATTAAAACTAGAGTTTTTACTATGTATAAACAGTGTATATGCGTAATTTTGACTATGTGATTAAAACTATAAATTTAGTTAATTTTTATGTATTTTATTAATTTATTTTAGAGACACAAAGTTAATGATAAGCAAAATTGAGAGACTGAACAAAGGGTGTATGAAAGGACTCGTACGACAGGTGCTCTCGATTACCACATATTCGGCCAAAAAGACATTCAATCAGTTGTGCCGACAGAAGAACGGACTGTCGAAGAGAATGGAGGAAATGCTGGAGTCATCCAAATGTCTGAATAAAGCCAATCAAGAGATCCAGAAGTGTTACGACCACACAATCGACCACTTCCTCAGCCTTAAGAAAGTGGACGACAAGAAGAAGATACCCATGGCTTGTTGGTATGTACTGTATATACCCTCTCTCTCTCTCTCTCTCTCTCTCTCTCTCTCTCTCGAATTTTTCAAATAATTATTAAAATTAATAATCAATATAACGTTAAGTTAGTAAGTTATCACTTTATAATATAAATTGTAGAATAATACATTTT